AATATTGATCAAACAGAAATGATTATCTCATAATGATGATGCGAAATAACTATGAACATACTTGAATAACTTGTCGATGTTCCTTGAAGACGTTGATCCGAACGAGCGCTTTGCCAAACTCAGGGTTTGTCGATTGCAATAACTCGAAATCGGTGTGTTCTTCGAAACCGATGATATTCATACCGATAACGACGAATTCGAATAATGTTTTCAGATTGTCCGGTGACGGACTCGTAACGAATATATTCGTGTAGCCGAATGCAATCGCGCCCGAAATGGCCAGACCGAGCGCTGCCGACTTGCCCCTGCCTCTCGCAGCCGTTACTGAGCATGTGGATTGCAGAGCTTTATCCGTTATCACATCCAACAAACGTAACAACGCCTCAAACACACAACTATCAAATTGCTGTCTTTTGCTTGAAATGAACGATTAAGCCAATTGGTGCTATTCGTACAGAATTCCCATTCGGAAATTCAAAAGTAAGCAAATTCCGAGCGTAAATTTTTGACGTTAGATATCAATAGAAACATGTTCCTGGCATCAAGAACACTGATAGTAAAAAAATTCTTAGAAAAAAACAACAATAAATTAATCGGAACCTTGGCTTGACACAATGTTTTGCATTTACTTATCAGCTGTCCGATTGGTTTCGTTTCAGCCAGAGAAGTTTTGAGTGCAGTCAGTTCTTCTTGTTTGGCGTTCGATTCATTCTAAATTGTCACAATTCACGACATATCGATTTCAGTACATTTACATCGAACTATGCGAATGAAGTTCGCAATTTCAACAGTGACAATTTAAAAAATAACAACACCAAATAATAATAATAATAACCTTGACATTCGCACTAACAGACTGAATATTGTTGATATGTGATGATAACGGTAATAAGTTGAGTCGATCGTCAACCACAACACAGTCACGACAACTCGCTAACGACAAAATGAATCTCTCATTGAAACGACCGACCACCTCGGAGTGAGATTCAGTTCGATATCTGCTGTGCACATCCTGAATTGAAAGTTAGTGTTGTTGTTGCTGCATTCAGCCAGGCTCTTCGCCTTGCTTTCAATGGCTATTTGAGCATTTTCATTCAATAATATGACATTCGTACACCTCTCCTTCTCAAGCAAAAATCCGCAATCTGCACCCAAACCCACCAAACATCGCAATTTTCCGTAAGTTACTCAAATCGAATGAACTATAACGGAGATTGCTTGGAGCGTAACGAATGAATACGTTCAGATTATAATCATACACGCATATATGTAAGT